TACCTTTAAAAAAAATACATATATATTGAGTGACTAGCAAAGGGACACAGTAGATCAAAGGGATACAGGATCTAATCTTGCTGCCTGACAAACCTTTTCATCCCAACAGCTACATTCCATCTGTAAGTGCTGTACTAACATCCAGTAATACCCACCCCAGACCTTTACTGATAGAGGGAAACAAGGGAACACAACTTTACTGCAAGATGCAGCAGTAAACTTGTTACTCCCCCAACCTCTTCCACTGCAGAAGCCGTCCCAGGTGACGCACTGACTCGCCATGGCCCAGCCCCCTTAGCATCATTAAGGCTGTGACACCAGAGCAATAGCCACCCCCCTTTCACTGTTGGTGCACACAGCAGTGTCAGCTGCGCCGGGGGACACAGAGTTCTCCTCCACGCTCTCACAGCACTTGCAAACTACGTAGGCAGCGGAGCAAGTGCTGGAGACCTCTCCCTTCTCCTGCGACACAGCCTGCTTCCTTAGGTCACAGCCCCAGTTTGCTCTGTGTTAGCGTCATACTTGGACCCAAGCTTCAAAATCTTTACGGTTCTGCACAACTGGCAGCACACAGTCCAGAAATTGTTTCGCAGGGCCCTCTTCACAACAGCTTTTGGGAAGAAGGGCTATGAGGGGACAACAGCCTCAGAGGGATCTATCAGTCCATCTTGACAGCAGGACAGCCGCTACTCTAGTTACTAAGCTGCAGAAGCCTTCATGAAGGTGCCGGCAATCAACACCGAAACACCCTCTAATTCTGTGAAGCAGATCTCTGCCTTTCCCAGCAGACAGCTGTGCTGCTCCACACAACACAAAGGTGAGTGTGGAAATGCAAGTGCTTTTCAAGCTCACCTGCTGGTTATAAAGATGCTCCGGCTTTCTTCCATCATTCAACAGCAAAGCATTTCTTACGGAAGGAAAAGCCAGTTGCCAACAGCAAAAAAGACAGCACGCCCCAACATCTCTGAGGTACATCAGTTGCAGATATACATTGAAAAAATCATAAGCCTTAAATAACAAGCATAGAAGTTTTTCCAATCAAGAATTTTATTGACATTCTTGGCAAAATTAATCTAAATTTATGATCTTGGTCTCTCCTTCTTGCCCTTGTACAAGGCCAACAGAGAAACATTGGCTACTTTGACCACCTTGAAGCGAACTCCAGGAATGTCACCAACAGCGTGACCCTTCCGACCGAAACCAGCAACCAGAACTTCATCGTTTTCCTGCAATGAAAGACCACGTAGTTACAAAGCTATAAACATTAAGCCTGTACATACTTCTGAAATGGGTTAACATTAGGAAGTCTAGGGTGTGGCTCAAATTTAAAGAAAGGGTAGAAATCCTGAAGGCTATTGATAGATGTACATTAATAAAGGGCTGTTACCCCCTTCAGTGTTTTGGGGAAAGGAAACATAAGGAAGGATGCCACTTAGCTTGCAGCAGCACAGCTGAGAACTGGCTTCGCTAAGGGAGGGTAAAGTACAAAACCATCTCACATTTTTCATCTGCCTCTGCCACTACAGCTTTAAGAAACACATGGTGCAGAGTGCCACTAACCCTTGTCTAACCATCCCCTAAGTCCGTCTCTTATGTGTTTCTTTACTTTGATATACAAATTTTTATAGGTAACTCCTTGGAAAATTACCTCAATGAAGTTCAGGCAGCCATCGTTGGGAACAAAAGCTGTTATTTTTTTGCCGTTCTTAATCAGCTGGACTCTAACACATTTCCTGATAGCAGAGTTTGGCTGTTTAGCTTCTACTCCACTAAAATGGAAGCACATGGAAATAAGCAAAAATCAGTTTGATGAACTAGCAGATACTCATTACATCACCACCAATTACTGTATTACTTTGTATTAAAGTTGTATCTGTACTTCAAAAACGGTTAGTTCTCTATTTAGAGCTACTCAATATATAAAAGCCAGTTCCTAAGCTGACTAAAAACTTAAGATTTTTACATACACGTACTAATTCAGCAAATAAATATCGGGGGGGGGGGGGGGGGGGGAAAAACACCGGAGCCCTGGCAGTGTCCCAATTAAACTTACAAATTACAAAAAGAAAAAAGGCGGCCAGAAGACAAGTAGATGGGACCTTTGACACAAGGCGCACACACAGAAAACCCACCCCCCCCCAAATCCTAAACTGAGTTAAACCATATTTTTATTCTTTTGCTTCTAAATAAGCAGAATTTTTAAACTGACACGTGTATGAGAAAGAACACCTTTCAGCACAGCCACTTGGGAAAATAAACCACGTTTTCAGTCCAGCGCACAGAAACTAACAGAAATGTGGCGCGTTGCAGGTAGCAAAACCCCTCACGTGTTTAGAAAGTAAAATAGCTTGGCGGCGCTTCCTTCCTCAGGCCCCG